ACTACTCCTGACGGCGGCTCTGCAAGGTCTTTGAACTCTTCCAGCAGCTTGGCAATAGTTGGGTCTATGGGTATGTCTTCCTTAGGCTCAGATAGGCTACGAAGACCTGCTCCTCTAACTGCTCCTTTCTCTCCAATCGCGCGAACGCGGGAGCATTGAGACAGCAATGTGCCAAGGAGTTATCTACTCCAGACACATGAAACAGGCGGCAGTCTTAACCTCGCCTGACGGGCTACGGAGCCTACACTCATGCTCTCTCAAATGAAGTGTGGCCCCTGCTGCCTCTCCCCAGTCCATGCCTACGACTATATCAAAAGGAAGGTCATCCTGCACGAGGAGAGTCAGGGAATGGAGAACCTTCTCCACCTTCCCATCTCTCTGGGCGGAAATAAGCCTGGACTCCCTCTACGTAGTCCTCAACACGCATAGTGCGGTTGTTTGCGAGGACACTAACTATGGGGTCTTCCAATTTTTGGACTTTCAACCCTAGCCTTAGCTTCTTCAGCGCTCTACGGCTAATATAACTACGAGTAGCCCCAGAATCTATATGGACCCCTACTCTACTTCTAAAAACTTCTACATCAACCAAAACTAGTTGTCCCTTACTATCCTTCTTCATTTTGGCCCAGGCGGGCATCCTCTCCTTCAGCTCTTCTGCCACGCCTGTGAAGGAAGTGCCTAGAGAGACGCTAACACAAGCAGTCTCTGGACAGCTAGGTAGGCACTGGCCTGCAACCTCTGTCGAAGGCTCATGTGGTGTAGGAGTTTCCTGGTGGTGCACACACTTCCCCACATGGCCTTGTAGTAGGGGCAGTTGCGACCCCTACTGGCGGCTGCCTTTTGACCCCTGGGCAGCGAATCGGGCTTCCCTATACTTTGGACAATATTTAATAATATGGGCAGGGTCACCGCAATAGATGCACTGCCCCTGCTCCATGCGCTGTTGCCATACACACTGGTCCAAGCCCAAATCTTCCCAAGGTCGTCCCTGTGGCCAACCTGGGTGCCAACCTCCTTGACTTTGAGATGACCTTCTACCTCTGCGTTGCGGCGACCGACTCGGTCCTGAGCGATTCAGCGGCGACCGACTCGGTCCTGAGCGATTCAGCGGCGGACCTTGACCCCACCTACCACTTGGCGGTTCCTTTGTCAGCCAACCCCTTGTGCACCCGGACCTCGACCACCCATGGCCCGACCCGCTTGGCCCTGGCCTCCTTTACCTTGCGACCTCCCTCCAGCCGCGACAGCAGCGTACGTCCTCCCCTGACCTACACTACTGTCCTCCTCCTCTAACCTCTACTTTATCTGACTGTAGGAGACTTCGTCAATACCGCCTTCATCTAAAGTAAGGATCAGATGATCCTTGGCCTTGACCTGGCCTGAGATGGTACGACCTTTCCACTTCTTTCCATTATCTAAGTCCTTATGCCAGAAAGTGGAAGATGGCACGGACTTTGCCTCAAACAGGACCACTTCTCTACTTAACGCGTCGTACGTCATATTGGCCTGTTGGGTCTTATCAAAGAAATGCCCTCGCAGGGGCTCTGGCATAGCACGATAAAATAATTGGACCAACTCGGTCTTAGTGACCCTGTGGTCTGGGACGGCTACCAAGTCGTCCATGACAACTTTGAGTGCTCGCGCACTCGTCCACTTTCATGAGTGGATGGTATGAAGCTTGTCAGAGGCCCTAACGCCCCTTGTGACGTCAGCGAACCTCTCTCGCAGGAGTTTAAGGAAAGTAGAAAGAGGGGTGAGCCTAGAGTATGCAACCATATTGTTTTTACAATCGGCTGCACGCGCAAGGGACCTGGCAAAGCCGGCCGCTTCGTCCTTTAATGCATGGAAGGCCACGAGCACTTGTGCGAGGATCAGTGTCCTCGGTAGGCCTACTGGGCCCTGTCTGCAGCCTTACCCGCCCTAAGTGAAGGCGAGCCTGGCTTTGTGCAAGAGGCCCTCGACTGTCGATTTCATATTTGGGGTCCAGGCAGTTGCGACGCGCCAGTTGGTTGAAAGAAACACAGGCCGAGTACCGAAGACATTTCCACGGCCTACCGGGCCTTTCAAAGAATGCAGGCCCTAGGCGTGATTCGCAGCCTCATACAGAGATAGTTGGGCGCCCAACCGAACGAGGCGAGCAGCCTAGTAGCTGCTGCATCCAGACAGCATCATGGGGCCTTCCGGAAGCTGTTGGGCCTAGGCCAGCCCAGCCAGGCTGCTCTTTTCCATAAAGGAAAGAGCTCTGGCCAGGCAGCCTCATTCAGGCACTCGCATGATGGCGGCAGCGCTGCTAGAGCAGATGCTCGTGGGCTGCTGCTAGCACTGGGAGGCGAGGTGCAGCACGTGCGATCGTGCAGCGGAGGAGGGCGCTGCTAAGGGCAGCGCCATAGCCCAGCCACCATAGCTGATGGGCTTGGACTACAGTGAAGCGCAGGGGTGGTCTTCGGGTGACAGAGAGGACAGGTGTGGGTGAAGTCAAGGGATAGGTGAAGGATGATGATGATGATGATGATGTGAGGGCACGTACCTTGTATTGGCGAKGGTCTGCATGGGCGGCATCTTCAAGTACTTCGGGCTGCTGCTGATGTCAACAGTTGCATTGTCTTTTTGTAGTCTGTAGTAGCTGTGTAGGAGTAGGCTGGGCGCTGAGCGCCAAGTGTGAGTGTAAGGGAACTGGACTCGTGTGTTGAGGGAGAGAGTGTGCTCTCCACGGACATTAGTTTTCAGTGCTACGAAACTCCATTGGTGTATTATTGGTGCAATGGTGCTATCTGGACACGGTGTGACTATTTGACTTGAAATGTGATGGTGTGATCTGGGATTGTCATCTCGCTGCTGCTTATTTTCCTTGCAGTTTGGTATCGAAGCTGGTTCATATTGCGCTTCATTGGTTCTTCGCAATAGCCATTGGTGCTTCGCATGAGGTGTGGGGCAGTGATACGGCATTGGCGTTGAACATTAGGCGGCCCACGGTTGAGTGGGCGCGCCGGGGAGCTATGTGGTGACATACGGGATGTATGCTCGATGATGAGAACTCGCTGATGTGACATATTAAGCTGAGGTGGAACTACATTCTGCTGTTGGTTGTGTCGAAGCAAAGACCGGTCATCATAATTGCACATCAGGTTACCGGTGAGATATTTGTGGTTGGGGGCAGCATTATAAGGTACGTTGCTCTCTTCCTTATCTACCCTCTTCATCTCTTCTTACCGTGAGGAAGTGAGTTCTGTCTTGAGAGTCCTCTCGATGTGAGGTGTCACGAGCGCTCAACCTTGAGAGTCGACATTCTTCCTGGGCAGCAAGCTGGTGGGAGACGGGCGAAGCCTCTGAAGGGCCTTGGACGAAGCACTTGGGTCACGGTCACCATGCCAACCCGCTGGGACTAGTACACGCATGCTTGGGCCGCAAGTCCTTGTTCTGCTGCTTGCGCAAATAGGGGTCAACTCGGGCATGGCCGCCTCTATGAGACGCTCACCAGACCGTCTATAAACATTTCTGGTTGGGGACTCGGATTGAATCTGGCTGTGATCGTCATCCTAACTGCGACGTTAAATAATTCTTGAAGAGATGGGGGCGCTCTTAATAATCCTCCTGATCAGCCAGATCAACCGGGTGTAAGGCTCGTCGGCGTACGAGGATAAATAAGAGTGTTGTGGCTGCCTTGCTCGACGATGACTTGAGGCACAGGGGTGGGACCGGATTGCACAACTTTAGACACGCTGCTCAACCAGACACTCAGGGACGTTGACACAAAGTGACTACTCAAGAGGGATACAGGGGGAGGGGGGATTCCGGTAACTATTCGCAGTGGCAATCAACAGACAATCTGCCATCAAGCATACATCTCCAACAAGAGATGTTATTTTCTGTTTTGATTATCTAGTTGTTACGGACTTCCTGACAACTGACAGACAGCTACAGATAGACTAGACCTTTGCTGTATTGCAATCTGTTCCAGGGTAATCTAAAAATAGATGTAATATATCCTGTAGGACCAGACATTAGTTGTAATTATATCACCTAACTGTTTTGTCCCATCCGACCGAAAGTAATTGTGTTTCATAATCGGTTGTGTGTCAAGCTAAGGTAGGATTCAGTGTGGATTCTAGTTTAGATCACACACACTGTAGCTCATGAGTGATGCAAGCACAAGTGAGGAGGAGTCACTAGTGGACGACCCGTAGGACTACTCGCGGAATTGCCCGTAGTCGACCCTTGACATTCTTGGAGTTAGGTCCAGGAGACGAGAGAAGATTGAGGAGAGAGGCTAGAGAAAGGGCAGCGGCAAGGAGAGCGAGGGCAGCTGAGGAGAGTGCTAGAGCTAGAATTACAACTAGCATCAGTACAGCCATGGCTACCTCATCTATGACGCAACCCTCGACACAGCCCACTTCGTCAGGAGTCAGTCAGAGTGGTGCTCAGGCGGTCACTAGTCAGATTGGTCATGTGCGAGTCAGCCAATCTCCTATCACGCCGGAGGACTTGGAAATCCGGCAAGGAGAAGAACTTTAGGATGAGCTACAGCGACAGATGGACGAAGTAGTAGAAAGGAGCAACGAAAAGCTAGACTAGAGAGTAGATTGCAGGAGTTAGGCAGACTGGAAAGACTAGATCAGGCAACATTAGACCCTGCTGTTTGTGTGCTGCGAGGCGCCTTACTTTCAGTGGCGGAAGCGCAAAGCGTTCAACAGGAATTGTTGGTTGATTTGGTAGCAGGCCAGAAACAAATTCTGGCTGAACTTAGGGGCATTCGCCCGACGGCGAGGCCGCCAGAGTTTGCTGTAGTTCCCCCTGTAGGTGCGGGTCCATCATCGATGCCGCAATGCATAGGGCAAACTTTCTCTCCCATGTTTGGCGTGCCCTCCCCGGGTGGTTTAGGTGCAACTAGTGGTCCGGTTCATTCAGTCTCAGCCGTACCGTCTACAACAGTGGTCACTACAGTCCCATTGTCCAGCCAGGCCCAGGTTAGTTTGCAACAGCCTGTTTCAGTGGCTATGCAGCCGCTGCATCAAGCACCTGGGCCCATGCAGCGGATGCAGTGGATGCCCAAGATACCTCTAATGAGTCCCAAGCCTTTCTCTGGAGACAAGAAGAGGGAGGAAGACTTGGACACCTGGGTGAGGACTGTGCCTACTTATGTGAGGCACAAACTCACAAGGCCAGAAGAGGAAGTGGTAGTGGCTGCCTACTTTTTAGAAGGATCAGCAGCCCGCTGGTTGAATGGCTTGGTGCAGCAACAAGGCTACGGTCAGGATTTCGATGCCTGGGCTCAGTCTCAGACATTGGAACAGTTCGTACGGTCCGTCTACAACAGGTGGAATGACCCGCAAGGGGCTCAAAAGGCCACCGATGCTATCAACAACCTTTGTTCCCGTAGGTTCAAGGATGTTAGAGAGCTTACAGACACCGTAGAACGCCTTCTCGTGGCACCTGGTGTGCGTTTTGACCCGCAGGTTCTCCTAACGGATTACCTAAGGTGCCTACCTACAGAGGTAAGGACCAAGCTGGTTGATGAGGCCTATATCGACCAGCACACTTTTGCTTCTTTTAGTAAGAAAGCACTGGACATAGAGGCAAAGCTAGGATCTGCGCATAAGGCATCCAATGATGGTAGGAAGAGACTGCCCCAAGATTGGAAGAAAAAGGGTCAGTTAATGTTCGTTCACCACGATGGTCAAACGACGGAGATTGACGACTACTCAGATCTTGGGGAGTTCACAGAGCACGATGGGGGTGGTGAGTCGTGACACCCATCAAAGAAAAGGCTAGGGGGACCGGGAAGAAGAAGGTAGTACGGTCCACGGGTCAGGGTGACCAAGGAACACCCGCATGGGTGAAGATTGGTTTAGAATACGAGGTGTGGCGTGACCGCGTTGCTAGGGGTACATGCATGAACTGTGGCAACTTTGGCCACACGTCCAGGACTCGCCGCGACAAGAAAGTCACAACGAAGGTAGCCTCACCAACGGTGGTGGGCTTACCTTCGAACCCTGGGAGTGCTTCTGCGAGCAGCTCACAGGGAAACACCTCGGGCCAGTAGGAGTGTTAGCCGCTCTTACTCGCGCTGAAGTGGTAACGTTGCCTTCCCCACTTCAGGCGTTGCCCAAGGCTAGTGACCCACGTATCGCCCCGCAGACACATACAGACCCATCGACGCACTGTTCGAAAGATGTGTCTGAGGCCCTAGAAGAGTTAGAGACTGAGTAGTCAGGGAAGGACCCCAGGGACTCTTGGGCGATGATGAGTGGAGGTCCAAAGGGTGAACATTTCGTGGTAGAAGTAGATGTAGGTGGCCGCAAGATTGGCGCCTTCGCATACATACGCTCTACACGAAATTTCATCAGTCGTGCTTGTGTGGATAGACTGCGCTTAGGGGACCAAGTGCAGCGGCTTAGCAGAACTGTAGCTTCTACGCTAGCCAACAAGCACAAAATGGTAGTAAAAGACTATGTCAAGGACGTAGCCTGTTCCTTCTCCTACGGAGGAGGGGAAGTGATCCACAAGATCTCCTTCCTGGTTAGCGACGAACTTCCTTTTGATATGCTCCTAGGTATGTACTACCTCGAGGCCGCGAAACCACAGTTGGACTGGGATAGAAAGGTATTGATTCACAAGTTGCCCAACGGTAGATCTGTTAGATTGCAAAAGTTCAAAGCTAGCAGTTTAATAGAAAACTAGGAGTGCATGTGTGCATCATCTTTCTATAACGATTATAAACAGAATCGCGAGGAAGGCATGTATCTAAAGCGGAGGTCGTAAAATCACCCCCAGAGATAGAAAAAGTCGTCGCTCAATATTCAGACCTTTTTTAGGAGCCCACAGACGTGGTGGAAAGGGAGGTGGTCCATGCAATAGAGGTTGTCCCAGGTAGTAAGGTGCCTAGAGGACGAATCTATAGGATGTCTCCTGCGGAGTTAGATGAGCTTCGCCGCCAGCGTAAAGAGCTCACAGAGAAGGGATGGCTACGGCCTAGTACCTCCCCTTAAGGTGCGCCAGTCTTATTTGTTCCTAAGAAGGGAGGTCCATTAAGGATGTGCATTGACTATAGGGGCCTCAATGCCATCACCGTAAAGAACGCGGAGCCCCTACCCCGCATTGACGACCTCTTGGATAGAGTGCAGGGATGTCGGTACTTCACAAAGATAGATCTGAAGTCCGGATACCATCAAATTGCCGTTAGGCCTGAGGACCAACACAAAACCGCATTTCAGACCAGGTACGGTCTGTACGAGTTTATGGTGATGCCTTTTGGCATATGCAATGCGCCTGGTATGTTCCAGCACGCGATGAATAGGATCTTTCATGACTACTTGGACAAGTTTATCGTCGTGTACCTCGACGATATTCTCATCTTCAGTAGGACTGTAGAGGAGCACACTGAGCACTTGAAAATAGTGCTAGGTCTCCTAAGACAGCACCAGTACAAGGTAAACTCGGATAAATGCGAGTTTGGTCGCACCAAGATCTTGTACTTGGGTCATGAAATTTCAGCAGATGGATTGAGGCCGGAAGATGCGAAAGTGGC